CATTGACCTTTGGATTACAACGCCACCCATCCCCCCAATCTCCGGGGGGTTTTGGTTTGACCCCCTCTCTACCAGAAAACAGCACATCTTCTCTCACTGCAGCAACTAAATACTGAAAGCAACATTTGTATACAGAAGTGAAAATTGCATTAAGGAACAAGATGCACATAGCTTTGTTCCTGGTATCACGCTTGCAAAGTGTCCTTACTGAGCTGGAAGTCAGTTTCTCTTTGCCTCAAGCAAAATAAATCATGGTTCCCATTGTTCTTGGTCTTTAACGTTGCAGTTGGATACTGGAGAGACACTTGAGTCAATTGACACATCCGGATGCGGTCTAGTTAAACCAATGTGTATGCCAGTGGTACCAACCAGTAGATCGGGATTTAATGGTAGATCTTGATCTAATGATAGATCCTGGAGCTTCTGACTGGTTTGGCCAAAGAGCTACCAAGCACAGCATTTCGGCTGCCTTTCCCCTTACTGCGGCACACCTCCTGCCCTTTGCCTTAGAGCTGCCTCCTGCTCAATCCACCCCACGCACACAGCCTCCTGCTTGCTGTGCAGGGCAGGGAAGGGAGAAGAGGGGGTGCTTATGTCAGGGTGCCCCCTTCCACCCTGTATTCTGTCTCCACAGAATGGAGGGGAGCACAACAGGGCTTGGGGAGGAGGGAGTTTGCTGGCTGCTTTTGGGAGTGGTGCAGGGCCAGGGCAGGGGTGAGCCTGCCTTAGCCACCCAGGAGCCACCTCAGGTAAGCAGTGCCCAGCTGGAGCCAGCTCCAAACCCCTGCCCCAGTCATGAACCCCCTCCTGCACCCTCTGCCCCAGCCCTGAGCCCCCTGGATCCAAACTCCCTTACAGAGCCTGTACCCTGAGCCCCCTCCTGCACCTCAACTCTTTGCCCCAGGCTCAGATCACAGCCCCTCTCACACTCCAAATCCCTTAGCCCAAGACCAGATCCTGTGCCCCAAACCTCTGCTCCAGCCCAGTGAAAGGGAGGGAGAATGGGAAAGGGAGGGAGGACGGAGTGAGCAGAGGCCGGGCCTCGCTGAAGGGGCACGAAGGAGTCAGGGCAGGGCATCTGGGTTTGAGGTAGATCGCAGATTGCACTTAAATTTAAAAAGTGATCTCATGCTTAAAAAGGTCGGAGACCCCTGATGTACACATGGAATACTGGGGAAGTTTATAACTGAAACTTTTTCCCGGCGAAAAGCTCAGGGTTTGGTGAGACAGAAACCATTTCTGAATTCATGTTGGTTTCGGCTACTTGTTTCAGCAAAATAAGCAAAGATCCTGAAAAAAAATCATGATGCTTCATTTTAGTGGTTTCAAAATGATTGTCAATTCAAACCTCCCTATTGTTTTTAATTTTAAAATGTTTTAAAATATTCAAAATGGAAACAAAACATATCAGTCCAGGTCAAATGTAATCTTTTGTTCAATCCAAAACTTTTTTTCAGAAATAGCCAGCTAATTAAAAAAAACCATTATTCACAGAACTCTCATATGCCTTGTAACCCTTGACAGCAGCATCATATTGATTCACCAACCACCCATTTGGATTTCCTTAATTGATGCTCAACTCTTATTTAAAAACACTAGAGCACTCAGCACTGCCACAGCACTCAGAGACCACTGAAATGATCTAAACTTCTTAGAAGCCAACCCATTTATTACTGAAGCTGCTACTATGCAGAGCCATATCCTCAGACTAATTAAAATAGTAGCAGGGCTGGAACATTAGACACAGCTATGTGCCGCTTCATCTGCATCACCATATGCTTCTGGCCAATAGAAAGAAAGTTCCTGACATGGTGTCCTCCTTTCTTTAATGCACAGGTTCTAAAATAATTAATCCTTTAGTTACTGGGTTAAAACACTGTGTGAACACACAGTTTCTGAGTGTTTCTTTTTTCTCTCCACTCCATCTGGGAGGAAGGCCGCATGAGCTCTTACCTGAGGCTCTACCATCTGAGAACGGTGAAGAAGTTAGGAATAAGAACATCAGCAGTGTCAAAGCTGTAGGGGAAATTAGATTTTTCTTTAAACCTTGCTAGCACATCAGAAAGCTGCATGCCACATCAATAGAAATAGGAAAATTCAATTCAAAAACCGATCTCCGTTTCAGACTTTTAAGGTTGCTATTGTATAAATAGCAGCTGAATTATCCTCGGAAAAGTGCCTTAAAAATACCCTGCTTTCTTTTCAGATTGTATAAATCTTTCGCCTTTTACTATACGCAATGTCTCTCAGTTCAAGATAAATAGGCTTTCAAGGTGCACAAAACCCTACCCTATTTTATAATATATCTCCTCTCCTTCAAGATATAGCTCCGGTCAGGCTACAACATTGACCTTTGGATTACAACGCCACCCATCCCCCCAATCTCCGGGGGGTTTTGGTTTGACCCCCTCTCTACCAGAAAACAGCACATCTTCTCTCACTGCAGCAACTAAATACTGAAAGCAACATTTGTATACAGAAGTGAAAACTGCATTAAGGAACAAGACGCACATAGCTTTGTTCCTGGTATCACGCTTGCAAAGTGTCCTTACTGAGCTGGAAGTCAGTTTCTCTTTGCCTCAAGCAAAATAAATCATGGTTCCCATTGTTCTTGGTCTTTAACGTTGCAGTTGGATACTGGAGAGACACTTGAGTCAATTGACACATCCGGATGCGGTCTAGTTAAACCAATGTGTATGCCAGTGGTACCAACCAGTAGATTGGGATTTAATGGTAGATCTTGATCTAATGATAGATCCTGGAGCTTCTGACTGGTTTGGCCAAAGAGCTACCAAGCACAGCATTTCGGCTGCCTTTCCCCTTACTGCGGCACACCTCCTGCCCTTTGCCTTAGAGCTGCCTCCTGCTCAATCCACCCCACGCACACAGCCTCCTGCTTGCTGTGCAGGGCAGGGAAGGGAGAAGAGGGGGTGCTTATGTCAGGGTGCCCCCTTCCACCCTGTATTCTGTCTCCACAGAATGGAGGGGGGCACAACAGGGCTTGGGATGGAGGGAGTTTGCTGGCTGCTTTTGGGAGTGGTGCAGAGTCAGGGTAGGGGTGAGCCTGCTTAACCCCTCTGCACCACCACCCAGGGGCTACCTGAGATAAGCAGTGCCCAGCTGGAGCCAGCTCTGAACCCCTGCCCCAGTCATGAACTCCCTCCTGCATCCCAACCCCCTGCCGCAGGCTCCACTTAGAGCCTCTCTTACATTCCAGATCTCTTAGCCCAAGACTAGAGTCTGTGCCCCAACCCTCTGCCCCTGCCTGGTGAAAGAGAGGAAGGATGGGGGAAGGGAGGGAGGACAAGAGTGAGCGGAGTGGGGCCTCAGAAAAGGGTCACAAAGGAGATGGGCCAAGGGTATTTGGTTTGAGGTGGATCCTGGATTGCACTTAAATTCAAAAAGTGATCTTGTGCTTACAAAGGTTGGAGACCGCTGATTTAGTTTCACTAAGAAATATCCTGTTGGATCAAGCTAACCTGCTGGGATTTAGCTGACGTAGAGGGGTCTGCAGACTGGTTTGAGATTAGTAATGCTTTTGACCAGACGAAGGTTTGCAATTGGGATGTAAACAACTAGTCGACTACCCGATAAGCAAACGCTTATCGGGTAGTCAAGTAGGAACTCAACTAGTTGCTTCCCCTCCCCCCTTTGTCGTCTATCAGAGAGGCAGCAAAGGAGGGTGCACAAGTTGGCTTAAAAGCCGGTTTCCCCCCAGCACAGTCTCTCCAGGAGAGGCAGAGGGCAGTGAGGAAACTGCTCTCACTGGTCCTCTGCTGCTCCTCTCCCTTGGAAATGTACAGGAGCCATGGGTGGCTCTTAAACATTTCAAAGGGAGAGGCACAGCGGGATAGCAAGTACCCCCTACTACTACTCAATTTAGCTGATTAATAGAAATTTAACATCCCTAGTTTGCAATCCAGAATTGAGTACATATTTTGGCTAGTCACTTGATCATGGCAAGATAAATTTGCTAGTATATTGCACAGAACTTGACTTTTCAAAGGTGATGTGATGAATACCCTTGGATTTCATTGATTAAAACTGAAGTCATAGGTGCTTAGCCCTTCTGGAAATCAGGCCATAATTGAGTTAAAGCACAATACGATGGAAAGTGGTGCTTGAAGTAGGCCCATCACATTTCTGTTTCTTGCAAGACTGTAGATTCTGGCCTGCATTTGTTTTAATGAATTGGTACAAAATTGTGCTTAAAGAAAAAGACAGTACAATTTAAAATGTATTCCATAAGTGATGAATGAAAGTAGATGTTAATAATTAGGGGTAAGGATCTAGTGTGGTTGCTCACGATACATTTTATCAGAAAATGACTGAGTTTTAAATTCACAGTGTATGTATTTGTACACTGAGTAAATTGGAACATATTTAAAATGAAAGGGATGTTAGCAGAAACAAACAGGAATTGGAACATGCCCTCACTGATGAAGAATCGAATTAGGTATATCTCCATATAGACACACACACACACACACACACACACCTACGCAATGTCTCTCAGTTCAAGATAAATAGGCTTTCAAGGTGCACAAAACCCTACCCTATTTTATAATATATCTCCTCTCCTTCAAGATATAGCTCCCAAAAACATAAATAGTATATAACACTTGTTATCTCAAAGCACTTCAACTTAAATACACTACATATTGTGTAAAGGGATTACTTCTACCCACCTCTGAAACTCAGCCACCTTTGGAATGAAAAGGCAGCAGCTAATCTCAGAAGAGCAATATTATACATTTTCGGGCAAGAAGTGATACAAAATCCCCACTTGAACCTGCAGGTGGCACTTAAGCTGGTAGAATGCAAATACCTGGGTTGGAATTTCCTTAGGGCCACAAGAGTCTGCGGTCCCATCTGAAAGGCAGCACTTCTAGCTCAGCATCTTCGCTGTGGCATGAGTCCCGACCTGACTCAGAGAGAAAACCGCCTCCCAATGAATGAACATAATAGTCCATTATGACATCAGCAGCGCCTTCAGTAGTTATGCCTTCCTCGCTGCCTCCTGGGGGCGCCACAAAGAAAAACGAGTCCACATCCACAGAGCACGCGATGCTCCATTTCTGGAAGGCGGGAAAAGGAAGAATAATTTAAATGGACTGGTAGAGAGTTCCTACTGTAAGTCATTACCTGAGTCCCACATCTGCTGGGCAACTTCCCAAATCGCAGTTTCAGAGGGTCCCTTCCCCCACATCTGAATTGCATACTGGAGTCACGTTAAGCCTAGATTTAAAATAATAAGTCCTGAGGTAATAAAGCCCACGTATGGTGCCCCGTCATTGACCTAGAACCTTTTTCCTTTACTCCATGCTTTGTTTTGTGGTAGGAAAGGTGTTTGTCAAGCCAGCCAAAGCCTTAACCCTTGTTCTGGGGACAGTGCCACAGTGTAAGAAATACTTCAGGACCTGGGTGTTATGGTTGTCTTTATGCTGCACCCAACGGCAGGGTTGGCGCTCAGATCTCCCAGCGTTTGCACACACTGTGCTAAGTGAGCGGACGACAGGGAGGCAGAGGGCCCCTGACATGAATATGAAGAACAGTGCCTGCTGAGCTAGCCTCTCTGTTTCCTTTGCTCCTGTCATCTGAAGAAGTAGGCTGTGCCCACAAACGCTCATGATACCATCTACATGTTTTGTTAGTCTTTAAAGTGCTACTAGACTACTGGTTGTTTTTTAAGTTTTTCCTGTTTCCTTTATCATCATCTTCACTGGTTTTTTACTATGAATGTGACAAAGAGTTACCCTCTTCGGAGACGTTCCGGAAGCGTTGTGTTGACTGCTCCAATGGGAGAGAGGACAGACCTTTCTCGCCCACCCTTTGCCACACAGATCCCTGTCAATGGCTGCCAAATGTTTGCTGAGTGAACATGAGGCAGGGAACCAACCCAATGAGACCAGTCTCCTTGAGCAAATATTGAGGTAGACGAGGGCGCAAATGACTGAAGTGAAGCCTGAAAAACATGGATAGAGCAGAACAAAGGGACTGAAATTATGTAAGTCATAGATCCCTATCTCCTGCTTGGGCAAGATATAGACCTGAAACTGAGTCAGTCTTTGATCCTAACTCATAAGGCCAAGAAATGACAAATTTCTTTTGCTGCCAGATCTGAAAGGAGGGGGTTTTAAGGGGCGTTTTTTTGCTACACCATGATTTAACTCATAAGGCCAAGAAACGACAAATTTCTGTTGCTGCCAGATCTGAAAGGAGAGGGTTTGAAGGGGCGTTTTTTTGCTACACCATGATAGCACACTATGAAAGTGATGAATGTACCTTTGTCTCTGCTATTGGGACTGGTCCACACAAGAAGTCAATGAGTCCACTACAGTTGCCCCCTAGGGAATTTAGGTCCAGAGCCTCACAGGCGTATTGGCACCTTGTTGTTCATACTTGCTGCTGTGGAAGGCAAAATTCAAATCCCACTCTTGGTCCAAGTGGAAATTAGGGCAGGAAACGTGCTCAGCACTTAATTAGTAGTCAACCAGGGATTGTCCTGTCCAGCTTGACAAGAGTATTGCTATTTCAAATTGTGCAACGCTGGTAGTTTATGTGAGGTCTGTTTGGCAATATGTCTTTATGGAAGATTTGCTGTGTTGTCAGACTTTACCAACCAACACAACAAGAGCACAGATTTTCACTACATAACTGCATAGTTGGACTGAGCAAATTGCAAAGGAATTAGAAGTGATGGTGCAGCAAACAGGACTGACAGAAATAGCAGAGTGGTGAATGTAATATCTGTGGCAGCTGGTAATGGATTCACTGTTTCATTCACCCCAAAGCTTTGGCATCCAAGGGTATTTCCGCTGATCCTATGGACATACTGTAGGAAGATGTGAAAACCATTAATTTAATTAAAGAAAGCTCACTAAAGAGCTGGCTTTTGGAAGCATTTTGCTCAGAAATGGGAACCCATTTACTGTTCTACTCTGAACTACTGGGGGCCGTCACAGGGCAAGGTGCTTACAAGGGTGTACGAGGAACGAGATTCACATTTTTCTGGTAGAGAGGTGGAGCATTGGCTTGACAGGGACAGCTGGTTGATAAAGTTGTCATAGCTAGCTGATGTTTTTTCTATTTTAAACTGAAGTTGCAAGGAAGCAGTAGTGATTTGTTTTGCCACTCTGAATGGATAGACACATTCCAACAATCATTAGCACAGTGGAAGGGGAACTTACACACCCTCCAGGTGTGGTTCACTGTCCCATCCAGTGGCACCAAGACCACTTACCGGCAGAATAAGGAGTCTGCTCTACATAGCCTTAGCTAAGAGCTGGCTGGCTTTTAGCTCATGCAGTAGAGGCTCATGCACAAAGCCAGTGGTTTTCAAAGTACAGGTCATGACCCAGTACTGAATCCCAGAATGTCAGGTACCGGGTCACTTTGCTGTAGGATGACAGTGCCTCACCCCGGAAGTGGCCAGCAACAGGTCTAGCTTCTAGGTGGAGCTCCTATGAGCCCAGTGCTGCCCCCACCCTAAGCACCCACTCCTCACTCCCATGGGCCAGTTTCTGGCCAGTGGGAGCTGGGGGAAGCAGTGTCTGCTGGCAAGAACAACGTGCAGAGCTGCTTGCACATCTCTGCCTCAGAGCTGAACCTTCTGCTGGCCCCTTATGGGGCACAGCATGGTCTGTGGTGCAAGGACAAGCAGGCAACCTGCCTTAGCACCCCTGCAGCACTGCCGACCAGGTGCTGCTAGAAGTAAGCTTGCACCCCAATCGTCTGCCTCAGCCCTGAGCCCCCTCCCTCATTCCTGGCCCCACCCCATACCCTGCCTTCTAGTCAAAAGATATAATTAAGTTGGGTCAGGGGCATCAACAATTTTCTTCAACTGGGTCGCAAGAAAAAAAGTTTGAAACCCCCAGAGGTCCCTGGCTCAATTTCGCCTCTTGGCATTACACAGGCACAACTGAAAAGTAACCATCCCAGCTCCTACGTGCTCCTAACACTGTTACGACACACTGAGAACAGCACTGGTGAAGAAACAAATGAATGCCATGAGTAGTGTCATGCAGTTACATCTCGCTTCTCTGTCTGACCCTTTTAGTCATTCTCTCTCTGAAAAGGGTGTTGAAAATTGGAAAAAAAAAAAAGCGTTGGATGAAAGATCCTTTTGCTTTCCAAAATCCTGACTCAATAATGGAGCTAAACTGGAGACCTGAACAAGAAAAAGAGGTGTCGTGACTTGCCCGTGGTAGCACATTCAAAACATGCCACTTTTGTCATCATTTTGGAGAAGTGTTTTCAAAGAATATCGGACATTCCGTAATGTTCTGTTGTTGCTACAGTGCGCAACAACCTCCAGGTGCAAACTGGGATTTTCAACTTGGACATGCTTAGAAACAAAAAGAAAGAAACTGACGCAAGAGCTCACCTGAGATGCAGAAAGCACTTTCATCTCTTGAATCAGGCTGGAGCGAGATCATGAACTGCCGGCGGGCCCACCTGTCACATTAAGTAAGTGAAACTCAATCTGATCACCGGTTTTACTGAATGTTACTGAATGTACAAATGCTTTACAAGTAACAATCTCTGATTTTAGTTATTATTTTAAGTGACATGGTTAAAACTAGCATGTATTGCCCTTTATTGTGATTCTATGACAATTTTAGTCAGGAGATATTGTAGTTTCAGATCATGGGGTTAAGTATTTTTCTTCAATTGGGTTGTGAGGAAAAAAGTTTGAAAACCACTGTGCTACAGCATCACAGAAGGTCAAACTATTACTGACTATGACTAATTCAACTCCTCAGATCAACAACAAACAGCCCAAAGACCTCTGTACTCTTGACAATAAAGTGAGGTATAAGCCTCTGATTCTCCTCTTACATTAGTGTTACATCAGTAACTGATGTTGGTGAAATATTCCATTTCTGAGGCAAGATGTTTTCATGCCTCACTAAAGAGGTATTTCACCAAAAGCGCAGGAGGCGGTTTGATTGCAGGGATGCTTTTCAAGTGGCTTGGGACAGCAAGATTTGCTAAATCTAATAGGAATAGGACGGTAGTGGTGGCTTTTTAAAAAACATTCCCTGGCAGAGCTAGAAAACCAAACCCTGGCTGCCTTTGTGTTAGGAAATGAGTGAGAAAAAGAGTGTCCCAAATGGTAGAGCTGTATGGATGGCAACCAGGAAACTAAGCACTTTTAAATGGTGAAAATGAATCAGATTTCTAAAGTCCCTTCAGTTCTTGTAACCTAGGACTTGCTCCTGCTGCAACTGAAGTAGACGCCAAGACTCCCATTGGACTGGATATTGCAACGAAGTGAGTCCAGAGTAACTCCATTAAGTCAATAGTCTCACACTGATAGAACGGCAGTGTTGGAAGAGAGTCTGAACCCCCGAGTCAGATTGTGATCCCTCGCTCGCTTGACACGAATGTCACTCTAACTTCAGCAGAATGACTCTTGATGGGAAGAGAGTCTGAACCCCTGAGTCAGATTGTGATCCCGCGCTCGCTTGACACGAATGTCACTCTAACTTCAGCAGAATGACTCTTGATTCACCCCAGTGCACGCCATCAGAACTGGACTCGTTACATGCATTTTGAATGCTGATTTTAAACTACGCTACTGGTGAGTGAAGACCAGCGGAATGACCAACGCCCTTCTCCCCTCCCCCCATCTGCTAATGACCATTTGACCGAAGAGATGTCATTTGTTCAACAAAATGAAGTGGCAGTTGTAATAACGCAGGTCAGGTCTACGCTACAGAGCCCTGCCAGCACAAGTGTGTCAAGTCGGCGAGTGCGGATGTTTGGTTTGTTGATGACTGGCATAACTGTAGTTAGCAGAGGCCCCTAGGGCAGACACATTGCGCATTAGCTGGCATGACTTATTGCACTCCAGGGTGAAAGCGGTGCCTGGAATAAGCTATGCAAGAGACCCCCAACTTGCGACCACTCAAGTTCCGACCCCCAACACTTACAACCATTTTTGTATGTGCAGAAGGGGATGGAAACCTCCGACTTATGTCCTCAGCCCACATTTACGACAGCGCATGGTGCCTATTGTACATAAGGGTTCAAGTTACGACTCCCCTGACTTGCGACGCTTCTCCCCGAACCAATCGCGTCGCAAGTCAGGGGCCTCCTGTATTTGCTTGTCACCGCTCCAGCCAGGCCCGCTGTCCTCACCAGGCTGCTGTGAGGGAAATCCAAACCTCTGGATCCCCGGGTGTTTTAAGCCTCCGGAGCCTGAACAGAACCTAGCCACTGCCCCAGTCTTTGGGGTCCCCAGGCATGCTCTCAGAGGGGCACAGATGCCAAGTCTAGCACCCCTCTTGAGAACTGGAACCCGCTGTCCCGCGGCCTCGCCCCTGGGCTCAATGCTGGACTGTCAGACTCCCCCAGGGCTAAAGACATGCTTCTCCAGGACTCCACCCCAAGGTGGGAGCCTTCCGGATTAGCACTTAATGCTCTCCAGAGGCACTGAGCAACTGTGACGTGGTGACACCCCAACACTCTGCCCACTGGCTAACTCATTGGCTCATTGACTTTACAGACAGAGCAGGAGAGTGTGCAGATCACTTAGAAGGCAACACGCTAGAGTAACTCATTGGCTCATTGACTTTACAAACAGAGCAGGAGAGTGATCTGCAGATCACTTAGAAGGCAACACGCTTCCCCCCTCCCCCACTACAATGCCCCACACTGGCTCACCCTTCCCTTGGGAGACCACCCATGTCCAGGAAGATAGACAGTGTCCCCTCCCTCCACAGGCTGCTTCCTGCGGGGCTGCCTCCCCCTCATCTTGAGCTGGAGAAAAAAAGCCCTGGAAAGAGCCTCTTTTTATAACTTCAGGCTGCTTCCTGCGGGGAGAAAAATAGCCCTGGAAAGAGCCTCTTTTTATAACTTTTTGCCCCCATTAAGGAAGGTCCTGCACAGCTCAGCACAGACGCCTGCCACGTGACTTCGTTGCCAAGGCGATTTCACCCCTGTCAAACCAATTTCCCTGTTTGGGAGCCAGGCTACTGTTTAGGGCAAAGTGCTGTACAAACCAGGTTTTCTTTAGATTCTGCATGGGCGACCGACGTGTTCTGGTTGCTCAACTTCCTCCAAGTGTCAGAAATTGGATTGAAGGTGTTTCCTGATGGGACCGAAAAGGAGTTATGGTCGGACAGAAGCAGATAATCACTAGGAAGTTGTAGAGGGAAATGACAGTCCTTTTCCTCCTTTGTTCCAGTTTCTAATTTTGAGGGTGTCTCTTTTACTGTCTGCCTTGAACTTTACACCTTTTGGCCTGGACTTTGTCCTTTTTTATTTCCTGTTGTCCCTAGCTCCTTTTCCTTTTCTCCCTCCCCTGGTGCCTCCCAGGCTCAATTTACTTTGCCTTTGAAAGACAAAAAATTTCTCTTCATCCTACATCTCTTCTCTCTGTCCTTATTTCGTGCCCCTCGCCATAATATCTGACATACCTCTCTAAAAGCCATCCTGTCTCCTTTCTCCCCATATCCTGAAGCTTGCCTATTGCTTTCACTGCCTTATGTTTCTTGTCCAGCTCTCTCATCAATTTCCCCCTCCCATCTGGCTTCCTGTGAAGCTTTTCAGATTTTCTTACTAAAAAAAAAATGGGATCTATTTTTGAGTGCAAATGCGTTATTTTTGCAAAGAACTCGCTTCTTGAATTTAAGATTTTTCTGGATGACGATCATTTTTTGCATATTTTGATGCAAATCCAGCTGCTCCATCAAAACTATGAGAAAGGAAGTTTCCAGTGGCTAATGTTGCTATTTTGGTGTTTGGTATTTTTTTTTCCCCTGATAAAACTCTCTCTTAAAAACTCCCATCAGTTTTGTCATTGCTACCCATACGTGTTGGTAGATAATGCTCATGTTCGGACACCTATTGCATACATATATAAGTATGGTTGAATTTATTTTGATCCCATTACTGTGAGTGAAGATTTATAAAATATTTAGAAGCAATATTTATTTATTTGAAATATTTTATCCTACCTCTCTATTTAAAATATTTGAGGAGGCTTACACATTTTTTAAAAAACACAAAAATATACTAAGTGGCTACGTCTAGACTGGCATGATTTTCCGAAAATGCTTTTAACGGAAAACTTTTCCGTTAAAAGCATTTTCGGAAAAGCGCGTCTAGATTGGCAGGATGCTTTTCCGCAAAAGCACTTTTTGCGGAAAAGCGTCCATGGCCAATCTAGACGTGGTTTTCCGCAAAAAAGCCCCGATCGCCATTTTTGCGATCAGGGCTTTTTTGCAGAAAACAGTACTGTGCTGTCTACACTGGCCCTTTTGCGCAAAAGTCTTTCGGAAAAAGACTTTTGCCCGAACGGGAGCAGCATAGTATTTCTCACTTTTTCTACATGCGGCATTTATTTATTTGTGTACTTATTTTTACCCCGCCTCTTTATTTAAAATATTCAAAGCGGCTTACAATTTTTTTGTTAAAACACTATATATATATATATAAAAGTAAAATACAGGACCCCGAAGGGGGATATCAAACCTGCTAAAACACCTCAAGAGGAGGGACACACACAATCACTCAACTGTCACTTCGATGTTAGTGGTGGATGTTTTGCTTATGGTTCACAAGTGCTAGATCGTTTTGTACTCCTCTTGACCTGCCATCTGACAATCTTTGAAGCACCTTATAAGCATTACTGAGTTATACTTACAAGGTTTAGAATGTAAATGTTTATCTGCACCTGATGTATAGGGAAACTGAGGCACGGAGATTAAGTGACATGCAATGTTCTAATTTTTCTGGAATAAATTCTATTAAGTGCCCAGCCCTAGATCCACTAATGCTCATCGAATGACCAGAGCTGCTATTCCCAAAGGAACAGAACTCACCTGCTTGTGAGCTTCACCTCAGAACTGGCACCTGGCTGAGCCTCACAGCACTGAGACAGAGTTATAGTGAAAACCACAATATGTTTATCACCAAAGATTCAAGTAATAGCAGATGAGAATATGGGGAAAAAATGGCTTCCTCTAAAGCAAAATCACAGCTTACGTTCTAAAGCTAAACTAAGGGTATGTCTACACTACAAGGTTAATTCGAACTAACAGCCGTTAATTCGAATTAACTTTAATTAATTACACATACAAACCGCTAATTCGAATTTAAATCGAACTAGCGGAGCGCTTAATTCGAACTAGGTAAACCTCATTCTACGAGGAGTAACGCCTAGTTCGAATTAAGTAGTTCAAATTAAGGGCTGTGTAGCCACTTAATTCGAACTAGTTGGAGGCTAGCCCTTCCCAGGTTGCCCTGGTGGCCACTTTGGGCCAAACCAGGGAAACTTTTCTGCCCCCCTCCCGGCCCCGGAGCCCTTAAAGGGGCACGGTCTGGCTACAGTGCTTGTGCCAGTTGCAAGCCTGCCAGCACCCAGCCAGCAGACCCTGACCAGGCTGGCGGCTCCCAGGAGTCTGCCCAAGGCCACAAGAGGTGGGTGCCCACCTGGTCTAGTGCAAAGATCGTGGACC